CGAGAGCACGTCGCGTAGGCTAGTCGGTACTTAAGAACAATCACGACTATCGCGAGAACAATTATGTTCTATTTGCTAAACGAGGGGGATAAGAAAATGATAGAGAATTTATAAATTTCGCTGCAAGTTAGGTAGCTTACCTTTGTACAGATAGCGCGCACATGAGACTTAGCCTAGACGTCTATCTTATAACCACCTATAACTATTTAAGTCTAAACGCACGTATCCCGCGTCGTCAAACGATGTCTTGAAAAACCTGAAAAGCTGAAAAAAAAACAAATTAGTAATAGATTAGTTTAATACAATAAATAAACATAATAAAAGTGAAACGAATATAAACCACAATGATCAACCAAATGAAATAAACGATCCAACGATGAGACATGAACAACCCAACGATGAGACATTCGAATATTATACGAAATATTCGAATTCTCAAATAAAAATAAATGGAAACGAGAAAATAAAATCTGAAAAGAAAAAAAATAATTAAAACCTGAAAGAAAAATAGATTAGACCTGAAAAAGAAAATGATTAACAACCCAAAGGTGAGATACAAACAACCCAACGATGAGACATAAAGAAACCAACGACGAAACATTTAAATATTATACGAAATATTCGAATGAAAATAAGTAGAAACAGAAAATAAAAGCTGGAAAGTGAAAAAATAATTAAAACCTGAAAAAATAAAAAATAATTAAACCTGTAAATAAAAAAAAATTAATTCCTGAAAACAAAACAAAAATTATTAGTAAATTGTTTAATGGGGTGGGATGAGGTTGGGGTGGCCAGTCCCAACCTCATTTCGAACCCCCCACCCCTTCCGCGCACTTAGTTTAAATGCGTCACTTCGGAGGACGAACTAACAAATGAGTCTTGCTTCGTCGCGTCACCCTTTATATAGCCTCCGATCCGCCGAGCTCCCCACCCCGATCGGAAATTTTCGAACTTCGCCGATTCTATTAATTATTAATTTTCCGCCTTTATAACCAATAATTTATTAATTTTTTCACTTTTATTACAAATATACGTTGCGAACAATTTGTGAGTAACAAATTTGAATTTGTTACTAACAATAGGAGTAATAATTTATAAACCTTTTGCAAATTAAATGTACTTTTTAATACATATGGATTATAAATTCAAGTAATAGCGATTAATTTATTATTTTTCTCATTTTTGTTATAAATTTGCGTTATGCACAATTTGTTTTTAACAATATGGTTAATAATTTATAAATCTTTTGTAAATTATATGTAGATTTTATCATAAGTAGTTTTGAAGTTCAAGTAATAACCAGTAATTTATTAATTTTTTCACTTTTATTATAAATTTGCGTTGCCAATAATTTGTTATTAACAATTTCAATTTGTTATTAATAATAAATTCGAAGATTTATACGTTTCTTGTAAACTATAATTGCTTTCACAATTCCATAGGATAAATTTCCATGATACATATATGCTTATGAAAATATTTTTATTTCCTCTGCATTTTTGATTAAACATTAGAAAGCTCAGGCTATCTTAAAAGACAAGTGTGAGTTAATTTTTTAACCATTTCTTCAACCATTAAAACGTCATTGGTATTTATCTATCGAATAATGAAATTGTTTCAAATTACAAGTGATTTAGAATAGTTTCTTATAATTTTGCGATTAGTATAAAAAAATCCATGTAAGCATATAAATGTTATACATATAAAAAATTACTAATGAAAACACTATTTATTAACAGAATTAGTTAACCAACGAATATGTTTGCTAAAAGATTATTTCTAAATTATTATTCTCTTATGATTGCAGGTAGTACGAGGGATTCTTTAAAAGAATACTAATACGCAAGAAAGGATTTGAAAATTTGTAGCGAACAGAGCCCTAAGGAGACCATTGTTATCGTATCGATTGTTGATCATGATAGGACCATGAAAGACTAGTTTTATTTTGGCATGGTTCACTGTGATTTAAATCTCCTAGCTTAGTAGCAGGTTACATCACAGTGATTACACGCGTGTGTATGAGAAAGTGCGCTTGTTAAATAGTAATTACGAAGAGTAAAAAGTGGCCATGGTGTCAGCCTAAAATTCCATGGATAAGAACTACATGTATATATAGAAGATACGTTTTAACCGTGTATGTAACCGTTTCTGTGTGATTCATCTCGTCATGGACGAGTCTAAAATAAATTTTTCGATCAAATGAAAGAAAATGCAAAACAAAATGAACGTCATATCATTTATTCTTCTTTCCTTCCCTCCAGTACTGTGCGTTCGAGAAAAGAAGCCACAGCTGATTAACTCCGCTGACACATCCATGATTTCACATTCAGTGATCGCTATTAGTCGAACACGGTGACGAAAATCATCGGAGGGTCGTAGCGAGACCAAGTAAGATATAATATGCAAATATCGATATAATGTTTGAAGCGTAGTGTTAGCTATTAAGAAACAGAACGCACAGTATTTACTGATATTTATATATAATTAGATTTGTAATATTTAAAACAGTTATCAATCATTTTTTAACGAGTTTCTTAAAAACACTGTCCAACAAATTTTAATTTCCTTCCTAATCTGTACTATCCATTAAATGATTCTTGTATAGTTTACTTTCCTGAACACGAATCCGTAATCGAAATTGGTTTGACTCTTAGTTCCCGAAAAATGTGAGTTTTTCTAAAAAGGCACGATTTCTTGGCTAAAATGAAGTATTACATAAAAAGTAAAGAGGCTAGGAGGTTCTTTGCTGTGTTAAACATTAGATGAGAGTCTCTCTGTGTTTATCAATTTAAATAATTATAATTATTCGTGCTTCTGAATAACTATATTTGATCATGAAAGCTTAAAAGTAAACCTTCAAGCTTACTTTCTACGCATATTCTTACATTTTTACAAAAAGTTCTGCATCTGACACGAATTAACTACACTGTAGCGTATTTCAATTAGATTTTTGTTATTGTTTCGTGAATCAATGTATTTATATTATTGCTTCTACTGTATAATGAAACTGGAATAGATAACAAATGAATATGTTAAAAAGTTTTTCCTTCAAATCAATTTGTTTAAGAGTTATAAGCACTTGTACCACACAACCATGGTGTGCCAATACTTTTGTTCAGCACTGTATATGTACAAGAGCCATATACTATGGGTATAGTAAGTGTTAGTTAATAATATTCCAATGTATTGTATATCTGTTTTTAAAAATCTAAACTTCTATAATAATATATCAAATACTTTCTAATTTGAATTACAATAATAAACAATAAATTTTAATAAATTTGAGTTTATAAGTATTTTACATTAATAAAACTAATGTATTTCTTATAACTAGGTTGTAATGAAGACAACTGTTGGTGATATTGAGTTAAAATTATGGGTAAAAGAAACTCCAAAGGCATGTTTCATAGAAATTTCATGCAGTTATGTATGGAAGGTTATTAGGATGACACTATATTTCATAGAATTATCAAAGGATTCGTAACACAAGGTGGTTATCCCACAGGTATAGGAGAAGGTGGTAAAATATATGCAGAACCATTTAAAGTGAGACTATATTTAAAAATAAAATGAATTCCTCTTTTTATTCAAAAATAATTATTGGATATATGTGTTTTAGTACAAATTTCATACAAGATTACGTTTTTGCCGACGAGATTTAATTATCATATTTTCTCTTTTTTGTAGAATGATAGACTACTTTATCCTCCAAGATTGTTAAAATCTATAATTTTGAACAATCCGTTTTCTGATACTATACGAAGAATAAAACTACAGAAAAGTGAAGAAGTAAAGGACAGTTCAAAAACTAAAACAGCAGTGGTAAAATAAAAATCATATATGTTTGCAGAATTTAGCCCTGGTAGTATTATTCTTTGTAATGAAAAATTTTGTTACAGAGATTTCAATCTTTTATCATTTGGTGAAGAAGCAGAGGAAGATGAAGAAGAATCTGTGATATGAAATAAAAAGTTTAGTGGTGAAGGCAAATATGCGCATGATCATTTAAGTGATTCAAGATTAAGCTCACAATCAGCTGTTGAACCACCTGAACTTGCAATTAAAAAAAAAAAGGAAGGTAGTAGCGATTAGGAAAGTGACGACGAAATTGGGGAATAATTTTAAATTAACAAATTATGAAATTTCTGCTATTAATTTATGAACTTTTATAACTGTATCGCATAGCTGACTCCTTGCGCAGCATTCTTATACA